TAACTAATGCACTCAGAATTTTAATCCGTCATTTTCCAGCGGTTTTGGAACCAGTACACTATACTCCTCGTGAAACAGTTTTACGTCCATTACAGAGTTGGGGAAACTAAGGTACAGAGCAAACTGAGTGACCTATGTGAGGTCCATAAGGACCTTAATCAGGATTTTAACCATTCTTAGTTATACCATGGTGGTTTAGTTGCTAAATTTTGTACGACTCTTGCAATCCCATGGACTGTAGCCCGCCAGGCTCCTCAGTCCATGGGATTTCTCAGGCAAGAAACTGGAGTGGGTTGCCATTTCCTTCTGCAGGGGATCTTCCCGACTCAGGAATTGAACCGGAGTCTCCTGCATTGCAGTTAGATTCTTTACCGACTGATCTACGAGGGAAGCCCATAGCCTATGCTTTTGCCCTTATTTTACTCTGCTTGTCCTAATGATGGGTTGCCCTGGTAGTTCAGCTGGTAAAGAATCCGCCTGCAGTGTGGGAGACCCCAGCTCTTCCGATGACACCACCCTTATGGCAGAAAGTGAAGAGGAACTAAATAGCCCTGGCATGCTGTGGTTCATGGGGTCGCAAAGAGTCAGACATGACTGAGCAACTGAACTGAACTGAATTGAATTGAACCCACTCCAATATTCTGACCTGGAGAATTCCATGGACTGTATAGTCCTTGGGATCCAAAGAGTCGGACATGATGGAGTGACTTTCACTTTTACTTTTCTCCTGATGATAACCTGCTCCTGAGGGGTTCAAATCTTGCTCTGCTCTTTCCAACTGTGTAGCCTCAGATCCCCCAGCCATGAAATTAAAAGATGCTTACTCCTTGGAAGGAAAGTTATGGCCAACCTAGATAGCATATTAAAAAGCGGAGACATTACTTTGCTAACAAATGTCTGTCTAGTCAAGGCTGTGGTTTTTCCAGTGGTCATGTATGCATGTGAGAGATGGACTGGGAAGAAAACTGAGTGCCGAAGAATTGATGCTTTTGAACTGTGGTGTTGGAGAAGACTCTTGAGAGTCCCTTGGACTGCAAGGAGATCCAACCAGTCCATCCTAAAGGAGATCAGTCCTGGGTGTTCATTGGAAGGACTGATGCTGAAGCTGAAGCTCCAGTACTTTAGCCACCTCATGCGAAGAGTTGACTCGTTGGAAAAGCCCCTATGCTGGGAGGGACTGGGGGCAGGAGGAGAAGGGGACGACAGAGGTTGAGTTGGCTGGATGGCATCACTGATTCGATGGGCATGAGTTTGAGTGAACTGCTGGAGTTTGTGATGGACAGGGAGCCCTGGCATGCTGTGGTTCATGGGGTCGCAAAGAGTCAGACATGACTGAGCAACTGAACTGAACTGAATNATAATAGGAAATAAATGAAGATCACCCAAGTGAGAACAAACAGAATCTGCTTACTCAGGACTTGCTGTAGCAAGGGAGTCAGCCCACCATCCATCACTCTTGTCTGACAGAGTCTCAGAGGTTCTCCATGGAGTGAGGAAGCATCACATTGAATAGGTTTCAGGTGTGCCCTGTTTGGAGGTTGTTGGCATGGGGAAGCTTGAGGTGAGCTAAGCAGAAGTTTCTTATGCTATTGGTTTGGGAAGAGTGCACTTGGTTTTCTCCAATTTCTCTTGAATTAGAAACTATGGCAAAAAAAAAAATTGGGAAATTGAGAGTTGTGAACCAAGTTGTGACAATTCTAGCTGATTTCCCAGAAGTTGTGAGTAAGAATTCTATTGTCCTAGGTGGTCTAACCATTATCTGTTTGTATATTCAGTCTCTCAATGATAAGCACCTTATTCATCCATTAAGATGAATTTTAACAATATAGGTTGCTTCCATGTCCTGGCTATTGTAAACAGTGCTGCGATGAACATTGGGGTACACGTGTCTCTTTCAGATCTTGTTTCCTCGGTGCGTATGCTCAGAAGTGGTATTGCTGGGTCATATGGCAGTTCTATTTCCAGTTTTTTAAGGAATCTCCACGCCCATCAGCAGACGAATGGATAAGAAAGCTGTGGTACATATACACAATGGAATATTACTCAGCCATTAAAAAGAATACATTTGAATCAATTCTATGGGGAACACATGTAAATCCATGGCTGATTGATGTCAATGTATGGCAAAAACCACTACAATATTGTAAAGTAATTAGCCTCCAACTAATAAAAATAATTGGGGAAAAAACAAAACAAAGCAAAACAATATAGCACCTCACCTATAGCACCTAGCACATAGCGTGTGCATGAATGCTCAGTCGTGTCTGACTCTTTGCGGCCCCATGGACTGTAGCCCATCAGCCTCCTCTGTCTATGGGATTTTCCAGGCAAGAATACTGTAGCGGGTTGCCATTTCCTACTCCAGGGGATCTTCCTGACCCAGGGATCGAACCTGCATCTCTTGAGTCTCCTGCATTGGCAGGGGGACTCTTTACCACTGCGCCACCTGGTCAGCCCACCTAGCACATAGTAGTGCTCAGCAAATGTGATTGGGTTTGAAGATGATTTTCCACCTCGGAAAAAATTCTCATACTAACCGAACAAAGTCACTTCATCTTCAGATGTGACGATACTCCACAGGATGCTGTGGGTTGAAGCCTGTGAGGGAGCATATACAACACACCTGGGTCCAGCAATCCTCCCTAAGGAAACTCATGGTGTCCTAGGATGATGGTGGTGGTTTAGTCACTCAGTCATATCTGATTCTCACAACCTTGTGGAATGTAGCCCACCCAAGCTCCTCTGTCCATGGAATTCTCCAGGCAAGAATACTGGAGTGGGTTGCCATTTCCTTCTCCAGAGGACTTCCCAACCCAGGGATTGAAATGAACAAAGTCACTTCATCTTCAGATGTGACGATACTCCACAGGATGCTGTGGGTTGAAGCCTGTGAGGGAGCATATACAACACACCTGGGTCCAGCAATCCTCCCCAAGGAAACTCATGGTGTCTTAGGATGATGGTGGTGGTTTAGTCACTCAGTCATTTCTGATTCTCACAACCTTGTGGAACATAGCCCACCCAAGCTCCTCTGTCCATGGAATTCTCTAGGCAAGAGTACTGAAGTGGGTTGCCATTTCCTTCTCCAGAGGACTTCCCAACCCAAGGATCGAACATGGGTCACCTGCATTGCAGGCAGATTCTTTACAGACTTAGCCACTAGGGAAGCTCCTCTCAGAAATATACAGCTCAGCAAAGTTTTGCCTAAAGCTGTAATTCTCAACCCTGGCTGCATATTAGTATCACCCAGGGACTCATAAAAAGTAGTGATGCCTGATTCTGAGTCATTTGCTCTTGAATGGGGTTTGGGTATATTTTTTAAATTCTTAGGGAGATTTTAATATACAACCAGAATTGAAAACTACTGGCCTAAAACATTAATTTTCCCATTTTTTTCCCCAGCAGTCATCTGTTGTACCTATTGTGGGCCCAGGCCATTCCTAGGCTTATACATAGAAGCTCATTCATTCATTTATTCATTCAACCTTCAGAACATCATGCTTGCAGGGTGCTTAGACCTGTGCTGGATTCACTGGGAACAATGTGAGAAGTGAGCTCTTTCTGCTGTATGTTCTACATACTGGCTAAAAGCATACATGCTTCAGGGTCAGACAGTCATGGGCTCCAATATAATTCTATCTGTTCCTTCTTCAGTGATTTTGGACAAAATATTCTTAACTTACTTGCTACAGTGACTACTTGTACAAACCCTAAACTTCCGGCAGACTTAGTTTTCTCATCTATAAAATGGGGATGTATTGGTTGGAATTTGGCTAGGAAGACATAAACCACACTAGGTATTTCAGATGGAGAGGATTTAATACAGGAGATTGGTACCGCAGGTGGTAGGGACCTAGAAGAGCAAAAAAATGGAGGTTGAAGAGCAAAATAAAAATGGAAGTTGAAGTATCCTAAATGTTAGAAATGTAAAAAGCAGCAACTCCTCAGTGCTGGGGAGGAAAGGGAAGACATGATATTATAGAATTTAGGTGCTCATGGGAGAATCTCTTGTAGGTAGGTATTTATATCTCAAAAGAAAGTCCTCCACAGGAGGGTCTCTCATCTCAGGGGACATGAGGTGGCTGGCGTTTATACCTCATGGGCAGTAAGTGACAGGTGCTAGGCATGGCTAGAACCTTGGCTGTCCTTTGCTGTTGGAGGGATGCCGACAGAAGCTAGACAGAATGAGTCCCTTCTCCCCTCCTCCTACCAACCTTTCAGCAATGCCTCCTTCTGGCAAAACCCAAATGGAAGCTGGGCATCAAGGAATTCTGGGACGTGTAGTGTGCAGACATCCAGCCCCATCATCTCAGAGTAGAGCATAGGTTGGCAAAGGACAGCCTACAGGTCAAATCCAGCCTCTTTTCACGTGGCCCACAGTTTAAGGATGATTTTAGCTTTTTAAATGTTGAAAAAAAAATCAAGAGAAGAATCATATTTTTGATGTGAAAATTCTATCTAAGTTTCGGCGTCCATGAATCCCAGACACATTCATTGGTTTCTGTGTTGCCTATGGTTACTTCTGTGCGATGGTGGTGGTGTTGGGTCTTTGTGACAGAGATGTAGGGCCACAAAACTCAAAATATTTGCTATATTTGGCTCTTTACAGAAAATGCGTGCCTCCTTCTGCAGAATGGTATGGACAGTGTTTTGGGGGCTGAGAGGCTATAAATCAAATAGTAAATGACCCTTTGCAGAGCAAAAATGATGACTGAAGGAGTTAGTATGTGTAAAGTGCCTATTAGAGGTTTTAACATATAGAAAATACTTAACCCATTATGAGCATGTCCTGTGTCAGACACTAGGCTAGGTTTCGAGGTTCTTAGATGAATAAGGCATAGTTATGATTTCGAGGAGATTCTAGTTTCACAGTGGTGACAATTGGGTAAGGAAGAAGTTCAAAGCCATATGATAAATGCATTATTGATATCCTACTGGTTGCCCTTGCGGTGCTGGGTTGCAGGAGAGGCACCACATAAAAAAGGTGATGGGTTTTTCTGCACTCGCACTCATCGTGGTGCCATCAGGTGAGCTGCGAGGCTGGCGTCCGGACAAGGGGGACGGCGTGGGGCCCGAGGTCGGGAGGGAGGATGGCACGGGTCTTGGACGCTCGCTCAACATGCAGAACGACGCCGGTGAGTTCGTGGACCTGTATGCGCCGCGGAAATGCTCCTCCAGCAACCGTATCATCGGCGCCAAGGACCACGCGTCCATCCAGATGAACGTGGCTGAGGTTGACAAGGTGACAGGCAGGTTCAACGGCCAGTTTAAAACCTACGCTATCTGCGGGGCCATTCGCAGGATGGGTGAGTCAGATGACTCCATTCTCCGGCTGGCCAAGGCTGACGGCATCGTCTCAAAGAACTTCTAACTGAAGAGGATCCCGGATATGGAATATTTGTGATAAATAAAGTGAAAACCTATTTGCTTCAAAAAAAAAAAAAAAAGGTGATGGGCATTTCCTGTCCTAGGAACAGAGGTGTGGTGCACCATTTTGAAGTATTAGTCACTCAGTCGTGTCCGATTCTTCGCGAGCCCATGGACTGGAGCCCACTAGGCTTCTCTGTCCATGGGATTTCTCAGGCAAGAATAATGGAGTAGGTTGTGATTTCCTGCTGCAGAGGATCTTCCCGAGCCAGGGGTTGAACATGGGTCTCCCTCACTGCAGGCAGACTCTTTACCGTCTGAGCCAGGTCCACCATACCCTCCCATGTACTACTGCTAGAAGTATTTACCTTAGGACCTGTCTTTCCTCTAAAAGGAGGAAGCCATCTCCATATCCCCAGCTTCTAATCATATATAGAGTTGACAGTAGGTATCTGTATATGTATTTGTTGAATGACTGAATGAACAGATTGGGATCAAACAATGTTCCATTCAGAAGGCACCTTCTAATCTAGTCCAGTTCCTTCAAATGGAGAAGTTGAGTTTCAAAGAGCTTAAGCATTTCATCCTCTAGATGGTTGGATTAAGTAAAAACCTGCCTTCTCAGAGCAGATGTAGTCTCATGCCAAGGCACATGACTTGGTGGGCAGAGCTCAGGCTAGAATTTCAGCGCATGCTCAGCCCTCTTCAGTGGGAGGCCTTGTACAACCTTACAGGGCAGTCCCAACCTGGCTGCATCGGATCTTCTCAGGTATCCGTTTCCCTGCTTGAACAGATTGGGATCAAACAATGTTCCATTCAGAAGGCACCTTCTAATCTAGTCCAGTTCCTTCAAATGGAGAAGTTGAGTTTCAAAGAGCTTATGCATTTCATCCTCTAGATGGTTGGATTAAGTAAAAACCTACCTTCTCAGAGCAGATGTAGTCTCATGCCAAGGCACATGACTTGGTGGGCAGAGCTCAGGCTAGAATTTCAGCCCATGCTCAGCCCTCTTCAGTGGGAGGCCTTGTACAACCTTACAGGGCAGTCCCAACCTGGCTGCATCGGATCTTCTCAGGTATCTGTTTCCCTGCACCCATAAGTCTTTGGTTTAAATTACTCTACCTTTTTCAACACATCCCTTGAGGCACAAGTGGGTGGGGAGATGATGTATTTACAACTTGGTGTTTGGGAAAGATCCTGTGGTGAAAGAGATTTTAAATCTTTCTGCAACTGGGCTGCACACTAATCCCTTCCAGGTCCTGGGGCTGGCTGCTGTCTCTAAGTAGCCGGCTGTCGCGCCCTTGCATACATATTCCTGTTGTCAGCATTAATAAGGTACAATTGCCTGGGGCCTTGTTACCTACCAATTAAACTTTGGATTTTATTGTGCAACCTCGAGGATGCTTTATGGTATCAGAAGCCTTTGGCAGTTAAATGCGGCTAATATTCATGGCTCCCACATGGGCGCTTCACATCCTGCTCCATTCACAATGTGATTAAGGAATTAATTGATTTGGATGAGATTGGCACATGCTCTTGACAATAAAATGACTCCTTTATGGTGCTGTGGATATAGAGGGCTTGCTGCTGCCCTCAAGCCTGGTAAGTGGGAGCTCATGGCCGTTTGGGACCAGGCCCAGATCACAGTGACTCTCGGCTCTGGCCAGAGAAATCTGTAGCTGCACCAAGAGGCTTCAGAGCCCAGCCCTTCCCCCTTCTATTTCCCTTTCCTCTTCCCTTCCTTCCTACCTGCTCTCTCCTTCCCTCCCTCCTTTCTAATTTACATCTTCCTTTTCCCAGCTTTCTATCAAAACACAAAACTCCCCCGCCCTCCCTTCTTTTCATCCTTTCCTTCACCCTTCTTAGCTTCTCCCTCTCTTCCCTGAAATCTTATAAAAACACCAATTTTAATTCTCTGCTCTAACTTCCAAAGCCCTTAGCCTCACATTAGCCTGATCTGCTTTCCCACTGGGAGCATTTGGCTTCCCCATACTAAGACCCACTCAAGTTGGCCCATGGGGTCCTAAGAAGACAAACACATGAAGTTGTAAGGAGGCCAGGATCTCTTAATTCTAGAACAGAGCATCTAACAGGGTCAGGCCTCGTGGATATAGTCTTTGGATAGGATAGAAATTCTGGATTTCAAGAGCTCGAGGCTGCGGTGAAGACATGAGGTACCATTTGTTGAGTGTTTCCTATGTATTGGGTTGGCCAAAAATTTCATTCGGATTTTTCTGTAACATCTTATGAAAGAATTTGAATGAACTTTTCAGCCATCCCACTATGGGACACTGTGCTAAATGCTTTATGTGGCTATTATATCATTGAATCTAATAGGAAAGACAGAGGCTCAAAGCTGTTGCATGCCTTTGGCTAGGGAACTCAGCAAGTAAGTGACCGAGTGGAAACTCAGACTCGGCCAGTCTTTCTTCAGATCCAGCCTAGTATTGTATCCAAGTTCTACTATGTTGACATTAATCTGGGGCTTTCCTGGTGACTCAGATGGCGAAGAATCCACCTGCAATACAGGAGACCTGGGTTCGACCGTTGGGTTGGGAAGATCCCCTGGAGAATGGGATGGCAACCCACTCCAGTATACTTGCCTGAAGAATCCCATGGACAGAGAAGCCTGGTGGGCTACAGTCCATGGTGGGGTCGCAAAGAGTCAGAGTCGACTGAGCGACTAAGCACATGGGCACAGATTAGTCTTACCCATATACACTCAGCCTGCACATGGTTAATCAGGGCGCCATGGCAACTTTATTATCTTTCAGATCTTCTCCCGGTGTTGGCTGGCAGCCTCTTCCAACCCCTCTTATTGCCCTGTGGTGTCTTGTGACTAGTTCTCCCTGCCAGAATGTAAATCAAAGCGATGTGTGTGAATTCTGGGTCAGGGTGGCTAAGAATTGGATATGCCTTTCATTTCTCTCTTTTGCTTTCTCTCTGGAGACAGAGGAACTTTGATTCTCCAGGCACTTGTAGAAGTTAATATACAAGAAGCTTGAGTCTCTGCATCAATACCTGGAGGAGAGCTTCCCACAAACGAGGATACATCCTATGAGTGAAACATCCCACGAGTGAAAAAGGATCTGCCATTTCATTCGGCCATTGCCATTTCAGATTTGTGTGTTACAGCATCTGGAGTTACCTGAACAAATATGGTTTGCACGCCCAGGATAGGAAGATAGAATAGTAGTCCAGGGGCCTCAAGCAAAGCTTCATCCATGACTTGGGACCTCTCGCAGGTCAGATAGCAAAGACATAGGCAATGGCGATGATGTAGTTTATTAGAGGCGGACCTTGGTGCTCTGGTCTTCGGATACTGCCCTTATTCGAGAATGACATTATACAAGGAGTGAGATGCAATCATGGAAGAGATAGGGTTGCTTTCCTATGAGGGAAGGGTCACAGCTAGTTTGCCTTAAAGGACAAAATAAGATATTCCTTTTCTTTCTGAGTTTGTGAATGGAGACTAACACCTATAAAACTAATAAGACAAGCTATGTCACATCACTTCTCTGCTTGAAATCAATGGCTTCTTAGCTCACTCCTAATAAAAGCCCAAATCCTTACTCTGGAATGTAACCTATTCCTCTCTGCTCTCACTTTCCATCATTCTACCTGCTGTTACTTCTGCATGTTCCTGTCTAAGGGACTTTGCATTTGTTTCTTCTTCTTAGAATCTCCCATAGCCATCCTCATGGCTCTCTCTCATCTCCTTCAAGTCCTCTCATGAGTCATCTTTCAATACCACCCCTGCCAACTCTATTTGAAATTGTACCTCTTAGCCCACCCTACTATTCCCCTAATATATTACCAAAGTTATTTTTTTATTCATTGTCTCTTCACCAGACTGTGAATTTTCTGAGGCAAAGATATTTTATCTTTACTTACTATTGTACACAGAATCTTGGAATAGTGTTTGGAATACCATAAGCACTTCATAAATATTTCTTGTCTAATACATTATGTCCTATATTGAGATGCTGTTCGGTGGCATTGCTGTTGACTAAGTTAGTGAACAAATAAATGAAATGATGGGTGAGTATATGGGTGGATAGGTGGATGGATGGATGGATGGATGAATAGGTGGACAAGTTTCTTCGTGAATCATCTCAAGTAAAGACTTGGGCTTGCCCCCACTTCATGTCTCACACATGACACTGAATTTTTTTGACCAAAAAATTGCGTAGATGGTGGATGTTTTGTTTTTAAATGAATAAGCTTTATTTTTTAGAGCAATTTTAGTTTCATAGAAAAGCTGAACAGAAAGTGCAGAGAGTTCCAAGCCCTGCCTTTTCACGCGCTCACAGTCTGCTCCAGTACTGATATACTGCACCACAGTGGTTTTTCTTACCATCAGTGAACCTACATTAGCACGTTAATATCACCAAAGTCCGTAGCTTACATCACAGTTCACTTTTGCTGTTGTATATTCTGTGGATTTGGACAAATAACATAATTACATGTACCCACCATTGCAGTGTCGCACAGAATAGTTTCACTGGTCTAAAATTTCTGTGTTCTGATTATTTATTCCTCCCTGCTCCCTTAGCCCCTGACAACCACTGATCCTTTTACTGTCTCTGGAATTTTGTCTTCTTCTGGAATATCATATAGTTGGAATTATACAGGATGTAACCTTTTCAGATTGGCTTCTTTTACTTAGTAATTTAAATGTACATCAGTGTATCCTCCATGTCTTTCAATGATTTGATAGCTTATGTCTTTTTAGGGCTAAATAATCCTCAGTTTTAATGCCCCATAGTTTACTTATTCACTTATTGAAGAACGTCTTGGTTGTTTCCAAGTTTTGGCAATTATGAACAAAACTGCTACAAACATCTATGTGAAGGTTTTTTTGTGTGGACATAAACTTTCAACTTTTGGACTAAATACCAAGCAGTAAAATTTCTGGATTATATGGCAAGTATATGTTTTATTTTGTAAGAAACTACCAAACAGTCTTCCAAAGTGGCAATACCATTTTGGATTTCCACCAGCAGTAAGAGAGAGTTCTTATAATTCCACCTCCTCCCCAGCCTTTAGTGTTGCCAGTTTTTTGTTGGTTTTTTTTGTT